CAATACCGGAGACAATATGTTATTCATTTACTTAAAATCTAAAAAAAATTGTTAATAATATCCTTGGATGATAGCGATATCGAATGATTCTCACTACAAACAAAAAAGAAAATGTTTTCGTATATTTTGTGTTATATTTTATTTACCATGGATTTAGTTTCCCAAAAATACCTACGAGCAAATAAAAACCTTAACATGTGTGTCCATTCTTTTTCCTGCCAATGCCGGGTCTTCCTTGCCCTCGATTGAAGCTGTTCATATTCTTTGTGGAGCATGATGTGTCTGCAGTTTTCCTTTTGATAGCCTGAATTAAATGTTTTCTTAGAGTTTCTGCATAGGATGTTCTACTAGCCTAGCTGCTAATAACATTCTACCATCCACATTTCAAATTCGTTTATCTTCTTTACATCTTCTTATTAAAAACTTCAAGTTTTCATTCACACAGGAGCAGGAGTTCGAGCATATCATTGAATCCTCGTCAATCAATTTAAATGCTTTTTTCCTGCACTACCTAGGTAGTACTCTTTGAAGGATAGCTGCGTCGATGGAAATACGGGTAATGTTCTATTCAGCTGAGCTTCAACCGACAATATTGCCAAACTTATGGAGAAAAATAAAGATATCCCTAATTGTTGATTGCTTTAATTAACTGATAATTAAATAAAAGGACTGAAATTCATCTAAAAACGAGTTAAAAGAAGTGGCGTTTTGTACCCGAGGATTCTCCAAATACTGCCAAAAATAATGCGGTTAAGGTATTTGTTGGTGCAGGGTAAGAATTAAGACGGCAAAAAAAATGATATGCTGCAACAAGAAGAAGTTTAGAAATTGGCTTCCACAGATAAGACGTCTGACAAGTAAACTCGGATTTTCACATCTGTAGCAAAATCTCTTTAAAGCGAGCTTTGTTTGAGATCTTTATTTAACACAAACAAATTTCCCTTCAGGCTGACCTTGACTTTGCTCAAAATTCTCATTCCATGATGATCACCAACAGCGTTGACTGCGTGACTGTTTTGCGTAATACTTTATATGTAATTTACCTCCTCATACAACTAGATCAACTTAGACTAACCAATAATTATTTAACAGCATTTACGTATAAAGATTTGCGATATAAACTCAACCATAGTGAACTATGCACTCTACCCAATCTTCAAGAACAACCCTAACTAACCTTTAAGATTTCGAGTGTTTTGTGGAATCTACATGATGTTAATTCCAAAACTTAGATCCTAATTCATTAATGAATAATATATTTCTTTTGCCATTTCATCGCATTGCGAGAAAATGTTTAATAAATGAATGTTTGTGTTAGAATTCTCTACCTATTAATCTTTAGAGATCGTTGATATAGGAATAATTATAGCAAATACAAACGGAGTAATATTGGATCTTCGAATGAGGCCCGATGTAGTAACTGAAATTGATCTTATAGATAGAAACCGGGTAAGTGCATTCTTTATTCATGATCCTTAAGCGTAATAACTACTCTGTCTACTTCTGAATCTTTAGAATCCTTACCGAAATAGACCAGAATCAGCTTTCTATTTTGCATGCACGTCGCGTACATTATCGTAGCGAAGCACTCCATAGAGAACCAAAAAGCAGCAGCTGATATTTATGAAAAAATCTTTAATAATGAAAAAATATTAATTAAAAATATGTAAGACATATATTTAAATTTTAAAACAATTTCTATAACTGTTTACGCTGTGAAGGGTATCTCCCTTGATGGAAATGCTAGTAATTTTCGGGTGTTCTGGGCTTCGATGCCAAGCCGTTACTTATGGAGAAAAAATTACATCCCTAATTGTTGATTGCTTTAATTCGTCTGAAAAAGAGTTTAAAAAAGTACCGTTGTTTGCAAATACTTCAGAGTGACTAAAAAAAAAAAGAAATTTAATACAATGTAATTATTTGGAATGTCAACAGCACATACCATAACGACTGCTAGCCGGTCGAAACGTCCCAATACAAGCGTTGACGTCATGACCAATGACAGTTCGTTTAACGAATTTGAAACGATAAGCAAATTGCTTTTTTTTTAAACTAAAGCTTTCGAATAACTGTAATAAGATTTTGTTTTATATTTCGCAATTTTTATGATTGTTTTATTTTGTGGTGTGTGTAGATTACCTACTAATTTTATGCTGATGTTAATAAATATTTCTTAAAATGATAAATTCCTGTATTGCAAACTACAACTATTGCATATTTGTTTTATAAATAAATAATAACTCGTTATTATTATACAAATATAATATGTAAATGTAATATAAAAATTAATATTATTAATACTATTTTTAGTAATTTTTGTGATAATGGCCACCAAATTTTTGTTTGTTCTTCTTTGTCGGTAACAAACACGCTAGGAATTATGCTAGATTGTATCAAAATTAATTTCGTTGGCTTCGTCGCGTTTGATGGTTCCACCCTGTAGCCACACGCACGCCAGAATAAAACCACGGTCATGAGAATGACCTTGATACGAAATTTCGGTCTCGATGGAATGCGGCTGACCGGAAACGTTGTTCTTCATTTCGATTTTCGACCTCAGGAAATGCCTATGTGATTTCTTCACTTTGATTTACCGCACTGGTAATTTCACATTAGCTTCCTGTAGATGATTTGAAACTGGGAATTTGCAAACATCTGCTTTGACAAAAAACAACCTGTGGTAGTTCCTGGAAGGTGGTTTGCAGAATACTGGTGGCTCGATGGGGGGATAGCATTGAATGGTTATGCCAAAATGGCGCTGTAGAAGCCTGAGCACATAAATGAGGAATTCTGCTTATAGACTGACCAACCAAAACATCGCCTTCGCATCGCGATCACGTCGGTCCCACTGGTGGATGAGGCGCAGTTTAGGGTCAGATTATAAAAAGTTTGTTTATGACGGTTTTACGCAGTCCAGAGCTTTTTTTACATTTCTCATTTAGACTATCGATATTATAATGACAGCAATTACGTAAGAAAGTCTAGAAAAGTTAGGTTCATCAAGGATAATGTAGCCTTATTTGTACAAAATTTTTATTTAAATATGTATCCAGTTTTAGTGTGATTTTCTTAAAAAGATTGATTCGTTTCTCTCTGCATTTCTGCAATAGGCATCCTTCAGACTTTTGAAATTGAATCTCCATAAGGTACCACAAATTTTTAGAACAAATTTTGTAATAAATAATGTAAAAGTAATATAAAAATCATTGTGTTAAAATATAAAAAATGAAATGTAATTGTTAAAAATGATACTAATTCACATACAATATCAGAAACTTTAGTTTCTATTGCAATTGCTATTTATTTCATTTGTTTTCCCCTGCATTCCTATAAAGACATTTCTCTGAAAGCTATAAAATTGTAATGAAGTTGTATCATAAAACCGTAAAAAATCATAACCTTAAAATGTATTTACTCATTAAGAACTTCGCCATTTCATGGTATCTGAAACGTTTTTGAGAGGATATACAGGAATGAAAAATCAAAAAACTTGCCAGTAAGTTTATGAGCATACAGAAGCATATGCTTGTCCCGCTTTGATCGGAACAGAGTTTTGCAGTGTAAACAAAAAGCGTTTAAATGCCGCCCCTGTATATTTTATAAATTCGACTTGTTACGTATTTTTTATGGAACAACACGTTAGCGATTCGTCTCTAAACCGGAGCGTGGGCTCGTAAAATCATTATTTTTTAATAATAATTATATTTTTATGGCCTTTTTTCTCAGAACGGCATCTGCTCCGTCTAGACCAATGATTTACGGAAGTTATAAAAAAAATTCGCCAAAATGACCGCATGTGAGTTCAAACAAACTTGCGGTTTTGCGTTAATAACGTGTATTGTAATGTAGATTTGTTGTGGTTATTTATTCGCGGCGACATACCGGGGGTCTCTCTCATTTAACTCTATTCGCCACCGATTTCGGAAATGATCTCATATTATTTTGCGTTGTCTATAAATCCAACGAAGAATCTTTTATCCTGTTGCCGAAAAAAATTACAAGAACTTTTGAAAAAGCCGCGAAAATGGAGCTTTACTTGGGTAACTAATAGTTGTTGATTACGGTTAACTAAGGCATATTCCATAAATAACAATATCGAAAGTATAAATAACGCAGACATATTAAAAGAAGTCAAGAATGAAAATATGTTTTGCCCATTCAATTCACTCAGAGTGACATCAGTGCTCTCTTTCTTAATGTGGGAGAGTTAAAAATTATTCGTGAACTGTAAACCTTAGAGGTGATGGCCATATTGGCGTAGTATTGTACCTATGATTAAAGTCAAGAGTCTCGAGAGTGGCAGGTAGGCTGAGAGGTGATTGGCCTATATGTGTGTTAGGTTAGAAGTTATCAATATACCCACTTGTACACCAGGATAAACGAGGCCTCAACAGGTCACTAAAGAGAAGTACAGAAAAAAAGTAAGTAAGTGTAATAGACTAATTTAATTAAAAAAAAGGAATGAGAGAAGAGAGAGAAAGAAATTAGATTGTTTTGAAAATTTGGCAATGCTTTGTCGATATGCCATGTTGCCGCTTCTTCGTAGTAGTAAGTAGCATCAATATTCCGACCCTCTAATACTTTTTAACTGGTTTTGAATAATACGTTCCTATACCTCCTCTATTCCAGAAAATAATTTTCTTACTTTTCTGACCAAAATATAAGCACTGAAACAAGTTAAGTTAAAATTTTGGACATAGCTCAGGCAATTATCTATCAAAATTTTTTAATATTAAAATTAGGTCTACATTATACAGGGTTGATCAAAACTAATGATTTCCCTACCAGATACAAAAATTGTGAAAAATGCGTTTTTTGAAATGGATGTGTTATCACATAAGTTAAAACTGTTTTCAGAAATAAAAGCAAGTTTATCTGAAAACTGTATTACGATTTAAAATGGAAGGAAACCAGTATTCTAAAGGTATTTTATTGAATCTGTTTATTATGCATGATCAGCCAATTTTCAATCGAAATAATGAACACTGCTGGTCTGTCGACAATCCTCATGCTACAAACGAAATGGGATTTGCAAGATAAATTTAGTTCAAATGTGTTTTGCTTGTTCAAATAAAGAAAGTTTTTGAATTTATGATGAACCATTGAAGGCTACAAAATACCTTCAACTTATAAGAACAGTGGTAAATGATTTTCTCGAGCTCTCAGGAACTTTGGACCTATTTGTACCAACTAAATGGGGCACAGCCTCACTGCATTGATGAGGTTTCAACAGAATGAAACGAATTATTTAATGACTATTAGTTTCGAAGTTTGGGGCTGCGGGATTGGCCATTGGATTTGGAGTGCGTTAAAGTCATGCTCACCATTGTACGATGTTATGAAGAAATAGGTTCATCGGAAATAAAGAAGGCTACTACCATCAGTCCAATTCCAAGTGTGTGGAATGAATGGTGAACACATCGAACACCTTATGAAAAAATTGGATTCAATTTTCTATGTGCAATTTTTATTTTAAGTATCTAATTTTCTTTTTAATTTTAAAATGTTTGGCAAATTTTTTATTGTTCATGTTCTGGTTAAATTTTTGTTAATTTTGGTTAGTTAGATTTTTTCGAGGAACCTTGCACCATATATTTATTGAAAAACAGAAAATGAATTTGGACATAAGACGGATATTTCAAAACCACGTAAAAGACGAATTATGCCAAAATAATCCAGTTTTCAGGGAAAATTTCTTTTATTTCAGAAACCAATCAATGTAGGTCTAGGGACCTGGTAGTATGAGTGTTCTATTCGAAAAATGAAGTTTTCAACTTTTTTGTATCTCGTATGCAAATCGTTAGTTTCGGCCAACCCTGTATGATATATCAAATATCTTTATTTACTTGATCTTGGAGTAATTAATATCTCAACTATATGCTCATCTTTTAATTATAATCATGAATAATTATTATTATATTTATTATATATATTTATTATATTTATTCGAGATGTGTAGGACTAACCAAAACTGTCATTGGAATTTATCTAAACTTTAGGATATGACCTTTAAGTTGTCGAGCCTGTTTGGTGATCGTTGTCATCGCAAATTTACGTTTTATTACTCTCTGGCATTAAAAAACTTGATACAATATACAATTTCCTAATTGGTATAATTTTTAATTATTTAGTGCAATCACAGACACGTTTCCTTCAATATTCGCAAAAGCCACGCACCTAAAATTCTCCGATAATATGGACGACGATAAACGGGCTTTCACGATGGTGCAGAAAGCGCGTTTTTTCCTCGAACGATACCACTCAACCTGAAGGAAAATCAATAGTCATCATCTCTTTTTCTGGGTTAAGGCTAATTGCCGACACTTAACAATGAAATCCTCTTCTCCCTCGACACCCGTTATCCTGCAAGGTAAAATCAATGGCCGCACTTTTTTTTAATACAAGAACTTAGAAGCCGAAAATATATAGATCTTACTTGGATGCTCGTTGTTCTGGTACCCTTTTCCCTTCGTGTTCCATGCTAGAATCCTCGTTATCGAAGTGATCCAGGGACACGCTGGAGGTTACGTCGACTCTGATCACTTGCTCCGTCTGTGGACTCGCAGGTTTGGAAAACGAGAACCTTATGGTTTTCTTCAAGTCGTTTTTGATCCTCTTCGTTTGTTGACGAACTTCGAGGATTCTGATATTGACGTCGCCATCATTTGTTGCTACGTTAGCGTTCTGATCTGATTTCGAATCCGCAATCTCCGAGTTCAGGTCGTAGTCATTTTCTACCTCGCTATTTTCACTATCATCTAATATAACGTTGTCCAAGATCGATGTTAAATTAAACGAGATGTTATCTGATTCGTCAGAAATATCTGGGGATTTACTACGCTGCGTTTTACTAGATCTCAACCTTGGTGTTTTCTTGGACCATCTTCTCAACGAAGTGCCACAGTTGAGTTTTACGTTATCCGGCAGCGTGAGATTTCGGATAGCCAGGCCGATCATCTGCGGTTCCCCGGGGATAAACTTGGTCGGTGAAAATCGGTAGCAGTACCTGCAATTCAAGTTCTGTGTTGATTGTATCTGTTGTCTTAAGTTGGTACTCACCCTGGATAACCTTTGGTGACGTAATACGGACCTTCCGATTTCGAGCTATCGTTTGGGAGAGACAATTTCCTTTGGTAATCCTTTCTATTCACCAACTTTATAGATGTGCACTTCATTTCTCGTTAGGTTTGCGATGTTATCATGATATATTACTATCCTTTGTTAATTATTTATATCAAAGTTCACAATGGCATTCCATTAATTTTTTTAATGGTTGAATTACTTTTCTTTTTCTTGACAGTTCTGGCGAGAGCGCTGCACATTATATACTCAACCATTGAGTTGAATGTCATTGTCCAATTGTTTCAGGACAGGAGCATCAACCTGCAGTGTAAAGTTTTAAAATGTGTGGTATATAAAAAGCTTTAGAAGCCTCTGGTCACAAATTCCGATTTAGTTAGTAGAATTGCAGCCCTCTGATAAAATCAACACAGACCTGAGGATAATAAATAAAGAGTTTAAAGAAGAAACATTCCTTACAAAAACCGAAAATGCATGGTTTACAAGAATTTAAATAACAAAACAAACAAATCGAACATGAAAATTGGCAAAAGGAGTCTCTTACACCTTGTGCCAAGAGCTTAAAATATGTTGCCAAAATCCATTTAACATTTGGATCTTTAAGAAAGTCTAAAAGTACGGTTAGGTCATTTCTATTGGCGACAGACAAAGACTTCAAAACATGTTAACATAAAAATTTAAGTTTTGAGTATATTATAATTAAGGTGAGGTGACGTAAAACCAATGGAAATACCATAAAAAACCTGAAATTACATGAATAAACCTAGATATGACTTCACTTTAAGCAAAGGCGTGTTTGTGTTCATTAAAACTATACTTACGTGCAACTTAAAATTCTTACACTAAAAAAGCCTTTATAAGGCTTCAACAATAGTCTCTTTACTATATGTTAAGATTCTTGGTAACATGTTCAGAGTTTAGTTAATGTGTTAAGCTGAAAATTAGCAATTACAATGACATTTTCTGAGAATTATTGCTTTTATTATTGAATATGACTTGTTATGATCGTATCTTTGAAGACACAATGTCAAGTCGTTGATTTTGTTTATAGTTTTAATGTATTTCATGTTAGAAAAGAATATGAGCCGAAATTTTGTTTAGATTAGGTGTACTTATTTATCTTAGGTTGCTGCAATTAACATTATCATGCTCTTCTCAAACTTGCACAAATTTTGAAGAATTAAAATAAGACGAAAAGCTATTTATATCTTTGCAGTGTATTTTCCTACCTCCCAGAATAAAAGTTTTAGGTTTAGCAGAATGATCTAAGCAAAATTATACAAACATTTGCTTTAGGAATATCTAAAATTACCATCCTCTCAATGTAAAACTGAGACAAGATCAAACAAAATAGTTACATGGGCTATGCCGTTTTAACTGTTACTTTTGTACTTATATTTCTAAGATTTTAAAATTAGATTTCTAAATTTTTCTAAAATCATATAAACTATTTACATTATTTCACCAACTTCATGTTTATAAATAGTACTCAGATTACCTACTTTGAACATGATTCTCTAGACATTTCATAAATCTCAAGGTAGATGTCGCTGAAGTCATATAAATTCAAATTCAAAAATTCGTTAAATTTTAAAGACAAAAGCTATTGAACCGGAAATGATTGTTAATTTAAAATATTAACCAAAAAAGCGTAATTTTTTTTAGTTTGATCATAGAAATAATCTTGGGGTATATGCAAAACTTATTAACGCTTCAATTGAGTTTAAGCTATTTGAACGAAGTATTTTTTGCACCTAAAATGAACCACTTCGACCACTTCGATGATTATTTTCTAGCTGTAATTTTTTTTCTACTTTTTTTCTATTTTAGATAAATAAAATAAACATTTATTCTATTTTATTCCAACACAACTAGTAGAGTAATGGAGGTGCCGATTTTTGTTATTTGTCTTTTAAATACCAAGTTACGTTTTCTTCCCATACCATTTTTTGTTGGTTTATTTTTGTAGCATTAAACATTAGAAACTTTTTTAACATTATCCTATTTTTTGAAATACATTACTTCTGAAGATTATTATAATAATTATATAATTATATAAAAATTATTTATAATATTATTGGTGTTTTTCTTTCCTTTGACCTCTTAGTAATATAACCATTTTGCTCTATAATTGATGGTAATTTAGTTAGACTCAAGTATGCCACTGTGCGCTGAAATTAACATTAACATTACAAGAAAGCAATATGTATTTTTAATATTAAAAAGAATTACTAAAATAATAAAATAAAATAAAAAAAATTAAAAGTCGGAGAAATTAAAAGCAAGCAAAGTTAAAAAATTACAAAAACTCAACATCTAGTGCACAATATAATATCTGTGCAGACGCAATTGTCGCATCGAATTTAAAATTTTAGGAGATCAAATTTTAAAAATTTGCACAAGAAAACGTTCGGCGTACTAGTGGAGGAAATTCCCGGGCATGTGTTAACTTATTTATTCCGAAACGAACATTTCCCAGGACTTTCAATAAAGCCCTACAATGCAAAATCGTTTATATGGTTTATTTGTTTCCCCACCCACTCGGTCGGGACAATGGAAGACATTGTCGCCTTTCGATATATCGAAGAATGGCTTTTGGTCTATTTCGAAATGATGTATGTTGCTGGTACCAATGGGGTGCAGGTGTCTAAACACATTGCGAGGCCTTGCCGTTTCTGTTTGTGATAGGTCAGTGGCGTGGAAGTTAATGTGGGTTACCTACTGATCGATTAGATTATTTTCTTGCCTAGTTTTGGAAGAAGTTACTTTGAGTTACTGAGGAATTTATTTGAAATTGAATTTGACTAATTAGTTGGAGTTCCTCCAGAATTCATAATCTGATTCACTGCCCAGTTAATGTAAATTATCAAAGTACTCGTGATTAATTATTAAATATATTTACTTTTAATTAATTACTTCGCGTGCATATATAAATCTCCGGGTTCGAGTAACTGAAAGTTAATCTTCGCTGAATGTAAGATAAACGGTTTTACAGGGTGCAATCAAATTAGCCATTATTTTTGAAAGCTGAAATATATTTTAGGCATATAGCGTTCGGTCACGCGAAGAAAGTTAGAACCATATTTCCGGCACAACAAGAACATTTAAAAGTACTTTGTCATTCGTGAATTGTTTTGTAAAACCAGGTGATGTTCACCAAGCTCTGGATATGGGTTATACTGGCAAACAAACATTTTCAGCTTTTTAAACGCCAAAAAAGACAAAGTAAATAAAGTTTTGTTTGGAAATAAGGAAAAATATAATACCTATACAGGGTGCTTCAAAAAAACATTCGCCAGCGTTGAGCTGGAGATCCGTCATCCAAAAAAAACAAAAAGTTTATGTAAACCTAGGTCAGAAAATGTACATAGTTTTCATGGGGTCTTCAATATTAGAAAGAAAACAGCTTCTTTAATAAAATGAATATTTTTGGATCGATTTTGTAGAATTTCAGCAAAGTTATTTATAATCATAAAGGGCTATTTTTTTTTAATTGAACTAAAATTGACGAATGATTTTGTGTAATACATGTAGCACCGCAAGATTTTTTTTAAAATAACAATATACAACAATAACAATATTACGATTGATCAACGACAGATACACATTTGTTTTCCTTTGAAAAAGTTTTGAGACTGCGGCAATTTCAAGTAGCAATACGAATAAATAAAAAGCAATGTTCTGTTTTTTTTGCCCCTACAAGCAGATAAAATTGGAAAAAGATGATAAACTATTTTGAAAATTTGGAAATAGTAGCGGAACCATTGGGAACCAGTTTAAGCATTGTCCAGAAAATTGAAAAAAAAAACATAATACTGAAGAAGATAAACAGTTTAAATGAAGAAATCCAAAGAGTAAACATTTGAGGAAAGATGTGAAAATGGAATTTCGAAATGTGATTTATAATTGAACTTTTCCAGATTTGAAAGAAATTCTAGAAAAATATATTTTTTCATTTTGGACTGAATCATTATCAAAATTAATAAGATTGTTAGGTTTTCGCTATAAAAAAAGTGTAACCTAGGATATTTATCTGAGCAATCATAGAAAAATTTACAAAAAACGTGGATATTTTCCAATGAAAGTTGTTCGAAATCTTGGAAAGATGGGTTTGTAAAAAATGTCAAGCGAAAATTTTCATTATTTTGTATGTTCGTTGTTCAACAGGGTTTATTTCATTTGCAAGTTTAATTTTTTGGTGTTTCATTCTTCCTTTCTTAACCAATAGAAATCATTAATATGTATTTTTATGAACTTTGTTTATACCACTTGGCACACTGATCTGATGACCACCATCAGCTTCATTTTAATCGTCAAAAAAAGTAAAAGCAAAAGGTATGAAATATGTAACAAATTACTTCGGCATTGAAAATAATTGATAACGGCGCATCCACCTCTGTCAAGATTTAGGGCCAAAAATTTTTATACTCACAAAAATACTAAAATGAAATTATATTAATCAAAATTGTAGCCCCCCCCATTCTGGATTTCTGTCATATTTGTATTTGAAAATTATCTTCAGCGTTAAAAAAAAATAAATTTTAAGGGATTTAATTCACATTTGTTCAAAATAATCTTATTTTCTGTAGCAGCACTTTTTGGGCTGTGACTCGAAGATTGCGTTTAACAAAACACCATTTGTATCTCTAAAATTCATCTTTAAATCTTCGTACCGAATGTTGAACCATGACAGAAACAAAATCGTTTAAATTTGATTACGGAATTGAAACAAAATCGATTGAACTCGAAATAAAACTACGCCTCCACCACTGTCAAAATTTATGACAAAAATTCTTATTTGAATTTTTCATGTCAACGAAAATGTGCAGGTATTATTTTCTTCTACTTAAAAAAAAATGTACAAATCATTTCGCAAAACAAATGTATACCTTTAAATCAAAAAGCAAGTTTAAGTTCCAATAATTTTGAAATTGAAAATAAAGCAAGTGCTCGTAGAAAGTGTTGGTGTTTGGTGCTCGACAATTTACTGCCATGATGGTGATCTTACCGGGAATCCATCATTTATTTGATACGCATGGGCATGATATAATACGATACGCTGCGTGCGAAATGTTTCGAACTTCCACCCTGCTGCGTCGGCAGTTAAATGGAGTTTTAGAAACTCCGCTTATCGCAAAACTCCGCCTTAAAAAGGCTAATATCGACATCCGCGGCCTTGTTGCCGCTTCTCCGATATTTCACACGCCATAGAGATGAGAAATGAGAAGAGCAGTGGATTCCAGCATACATTGGAAGTATTTTAATCGCCATAGTTTTTTTTTTAATTAATTTTACAGTATTCGGAAAATATACGGATCGAGTCAAAAAGTAAATGCCGATACCAAATTCCTTTTTTTAAATGGATCACAATTTTTTTAAATCCATTTTGAAATTCTGATTCAAATCTCAAGCATAATTCACGTAAAATAGCCTATACCTATCTTTCATTTTTTATGCGGCAAATAATAAAAAACATATGCTAATCGGCTTGAAAACGCTTCCAAAATATTGCTCACGATATTTTCATTAATATGCCTCATTTCGTCCCTAATTCTAAATTTGGTGGTTTTTCCTTTTTAAATATCATCGTCCTGTTGAAGCCATATCTGTCTATCTGGCAAACATTTTTTTTTTGGATGTTGTGTACGATTTTCTCTGGTTCATCCGGGATAATTTGTACTCCGATACCTGCAATTTTGGAAATGGATTTAAGATTTAAGATGCACATTTGCATCATAATTTTGCAAAACTATAGTGCGAATTTGGGATCGTCGTCACTCAGCTCCTGTAGTAATGTAATCTTGTACAGATGATACTTTTCTCCTTTTAATACACTAGTATTTTTCTTGAAAAAAATAATTTTTATAAAATATGATTCTTATATGTATAAGCATTGAATAGTTGTTTGAGCTTAAGGTTTATTGCAGCAGAATGATATATGTGTGACATGATGTGATAAAGAAAATTGAACACTTTCGTATTCAAATATCCTCTAGAAGGAAGCATATTATTAAACAACAGATTAGGCATCAATATAGATTTGCTTAGGTATTTTGTTGCCAAAATCTGCTTGCCATCTTTCTCTTTCAAAATTGAAAATGCACTTTTTTAGAAGATATTGACGAAATTCATTAAACCGCTATCGATCCAGAAGAACCAACTAAACCAGATCATGTCATGTTGAATATGTTACATTTGCAAAGATCCTGGGACTGTTCAAGATAGAGTTGAAAGTTTAGTTGACAAACTTCTGTATGTGTTTCACTAGATTACGAAATTCAGTGTTACAAAGGTGTTCCCCTTGATAGGTCAATCATGTGACCTCACACGCTATGCGATGTTGCCTGCTGATATATATTACAAATTGTAGTAATATTATGCTTTTTCCAATGTTCTAAAAGAAAGTCTGTTTTGACCTGGACTTAGAATATTTTCCGGTTTTGCTTAAAAATTGTAACAATTTTATTGCATTTTCTGCTTCCTATTGTCTCTTCTAAGAAAACTTCTAAATCCTAAATCAAAGTAGATGGTTATGTAAAATTAGTTAGCCACCAAATTTTTCGCTGGAGCATATATTTGAGTAAAGATTGTGACTCTTGGACCAAGGCAATGATTTCTTAAAGAACAATTAATCCCAAGATCAACTTGTCTTAAAAAAATCCTCGCACACTCTCATTTCTAATTGCACGTTTTATGAAGTAATACAAAATATACGCACGTGGTGTGTCAAAAAGTGAAAACCAAGTTCACCGTTTTTTAATTTCCTTTCTTGGTTTATTTCAACAGATCATGGCTTCATCTCTAAAGCACAACAAGAGGGATTATCCTAAATTTCTAATAAAATGTTTAATCTTGTATTCTCATTAGTTATTGGATGACCTGGCCGGACATGTCATCAGTCACTGTGGATTTTGTAATGAATCTTTCTGGATATTTTGCGTTAAACAAATTACAAACTTCTTGTTCTTGTTTTGTCTTCATATCCAATAAAAAATAAAATTTCAATTTTCCGAGTTTCATTTAGATCCGCCATGTTCACTTTCCTTACTAAAAATAGTAATTGTAAAAACTTAATTTATTTCAAAATTAAATTTCTGTTTTTTCTTGTTTTGCTCATAACAACTAAGCTGTATATTTTCTGTTTACTGCAAAAACTGCAATTTTCTTGATTTTTAAATAATTTTTTCCTATGTTTTAGGAGTTCACTGTAATATCCTTATCAATATACTGAGACTAAGGATGTAGTGATTTTTTGTTAAATTAATATTCATTTGTCGATGTTCAATGACATTGCGGCCCTGGTTTAAGGGTTTTTTATTTTATATCTATATATCCTCTTCATTTGTACATTTTCTTATTACGTTTGCAGTAATGGGGAAAAAAGCGAAAGCAGTAATGATTTTTTTCTAGTATATTCGGTATTTTCACAGTGTCACTGATTTAAGTGTCGAATCAAACCCGTTTTTGGACCGCAACCATAATTTTATTCTCTCCCATACCCGCACAATTTCTCATCCCTCATTTTAATAATAAATATAACCCCCGCATAAAATTCGTTTCGTTGGACCACATCCAATTATCGACAGCGAAAGTAGCCCGTACCACAATAACAAACCAAAAAAAAATCCCTTATCTTCCTCACACACGCTTCGTCTCCCCCTACCTTTATCCCCCAATATTGGACAAGGAATATGCAAACTTTCCGCAGGACTCTCTCTCCCCGTTCGTACAACCCCTCTCCCCGCGCTCCCCGCCCGCTTAAAATGACCAGCGGCCTAGACCTGCTCTAAAATCCTCCGAGATGCTGGCAGTGTTGAGGGGTTTGGCGGGGGCGGAAAGGCCGTTCGCAAGCAAAGGGGCTATAAACTTTCCCTACTCAAAGATCAATACCTACGGCTCTCAACTCACTCTCATGGTCAGGCATGTAAACGTCAGGCTTCAGACTCCGCGGTCCAGCGAGAAATTTGACCATATTAAATATTAAAATTATAATGGCAGCGTCGTTTGTGCCCTTTGCTAATATTTGCTATGCAGAAGACGCTTCAAAGTTGACAGTTTTATACAAACGTGGGTCAAATAGGAAAAATTAAATTGAAAGTAATAATAAATTGAATGTTCCTTAATTCGAAACATGAAAAAAATAAAATAGAGTTTTAATGACAGTGTTGTGGTATTGAACCGTCTATTTTTTTATGTCGATTGACTGAAGTAATTTTAAAAATACAACGAATTTTATATTTATTTATACCACTCGTGCCACTGGTAAACGACCGTTTCCTTTAGAGAATCGTTGCCAAAACACTTTTGCAACATTTTCAGCGTTCTCTAATCATTAAATCCGTTCTAACGCAAAATTTAATAGAAATTTATTGTTACAAATTTAAATCTATTTTTAAAATTGTAAAAAATCGCCGACACACAGAGGTAGATGTATTCTTGGCTTCGTAACTTTTGCAAATGTAAAGCTATGACGCTAAGAAAAGAATGCCAACAACAAATATACCAACATAACAAAAAAAAGAACTCAAATCAGAACAATGGGTGCCCCACACGGTGGTTATTCAGGGGTTATTCGAAGCCTGGAGGGGCGATACAAACCACCATGTCGGATTATGGCCTATGGCCGGTACCAGATTTAATTATTTAATTTAGTTAATTTTTGTGAATTTATATAGGAAAGAGATCATTGCCATATTTTACCATAGAGTCAAATTTAGCCAGTCAGAATTATTCAGACATCTGAGGTGATCAAGCTTGTGCAGTCCATGGTAGTAACTTATACATGATTTTTGAAACCTCTGGAAGTTCTCTTTATCTCTATTAATTATGCCCAGCTTGTAGACTACTACATAATAATCCGGTCAAGTATAAGACTGTCACAAAGCTTCAGTTTTATATTTATATCTAAAATTCTTTAATGCATGTATAGTGTTCTAAGTTTGTAGTATGAATTTGAATATTTTATTAACATGATTTAACAGCAAGCTAGAGTCAATTATTAAGAGCAAAGACTGTGATGGCAAATATTTTTTCTGCGGTTAAAAATATGTGATAGTTATCATTGCTAGTGATTATTTTTTTTGGAATCCAGAAATCATTATCTCTGTTTTAGAACAGTTTTAAACAATGGCAATCGGAAACATAACCAGAAACTAGATCGCCATTATTATTATTTACAGCAAAATGCAGGTCTCCTAAGTCAAAAGCATTATATATCCGAAAGTGTTCAGTATTACCGATGGCTACTAGAATCATTAAAACATTTGGCAAAATCGGACGTAGAAAGAGAGAAGAGTGAGGCCAAGCATGCTTCCAAGCGGGATACCTTTACTGGAAGTTGCTCCATTTCATATTATTCTTTGAGGTCGATCAACAATAAATTCAAAATATTATTTAAGGCTACTTGATTTAGCTCAAAAATACCTTAATTTTCTTAAAATAATTGATTGATTCCGGTGATTGCAGGCTTTGCTATATTCTAGTAGAATAAGACATGTCTTTAGTTTCTAATCTTTATTCTTTAAATGAGTCATTTTTTTATCATAAAAAACATTGTTTTCTACAACCTTTGACAGCCTTGGAAGATTGCTAATGAGACGGAAACTCCATTGCGAGAGACCTTTTAGGTAGAGCATTAGCACTCTTACATGCGTTTGGGAATGACACTCTAGTTACACATTTGTTAATAAAGTGATGTGGCCTAATAATTCAGGAACAACGACTTTCAAAATGTTGTCCCTTTGGCACTTGTTCTAAGTGAGAGTAATATTTTACTCACTTCCAACTCCGACACTTCACTAAAGGAAAAAAGTTCGCTTATTCCCTCCATTGAACCATAGTTTTTGAAAATTAAACCGTTTTTAGGTTGAGGTTCAGCTATATCAACCACAAAAAAGTGTCAAAATCATTAAGGTTATTTTGCTGTGAAAAGCCATTTGTTTTTCAGTCATTAAACAAATATTAACGAAATTTATTAGTTGCTATATTCAACGAACGCTATGTCTGATCTTGAATACTTATATTTTAACCGCGCTTTCTTTCTAAGTTTTATATAGTAATGTTTGCAAGACGAATAAGATTTGAAGTAAGTCACACCTAACACTGTTAAAATCAGCAAAGAAGCGACCAATTTCGAAA